ATTAACTTGAAATCAAAGGTTCGTGTACAGTACCTGATTTCGGTTAATGATTAACAACTGTGAAGTACAGCGTGTTTTTGTTGACACCGGGAGTGCACTAGACATCATGTATTTTCACTGTTTCGAGAGTCTGGGATTAGATCCAGCACTGTTGCAGAAGTATGATGGTCCTATTTATGGTTTCAACAACCAACCTGTTCCGGTAGAAGGAGTTCCAACAGTGGAACAGTGCAACAGTGCAACAGTGCAACAGTGCACTGTATCTAATCCCATAGATAGGACCATCATACTTCTGCAACAGTGCTGGATCTAATCCCAGACTCTCAAAACAGTGGAAATACATGATGTCTGGTGCACTCCCAGTATCAACAAGGACACGCTGTACTTCATAGTTGGTAACCATCTTCTGGACTTACCCTTACAATATGTCTTTCATGTTGTTTGCTATTTAATTACTTGCAATTTTAAAGCCTGTGAGCGCTAAATTTTACTGACAACTTTCTTATTATAAAAGGAGTCTCTGACGAAATTGGTAACAGTAGTTGTAGTAGTAATTGGTATCAATCCTGCTGTGCTAACAGTGTAAAGTCTTGTTTTTTTTTTTGTTTCCTAGACGATATGACTTTTTCAACTCACCACGTTTTAATTCAGCAAGATTCATATTTATTTATTTATTTTTTGTATTTTTTGCGCTTAATAATGGCTTTGTCCCACATGTTGAATCAACTTGGTCTTTATCTGTCTGTTATGGGTGGAAAGCAGATTACAAATTTACTACTACTACTTGGGAAACTCTCTGGTGTTTCTTTGATAGCCTTCTTATCCTATAAAATAAAATAAAATAAAATAAAAAGAAGTTAGAGATTTGATGTTTAAATCTTGTGGGAAATTTTAGGGGTACAAAAATGTCTCTTGCTTATAAATGTAATTAAAAAAATATTTTTTTAATGATACATGTTAAGAGTATAATAAGTATATATTTTTTTATAAAATTTTATTATAAATAAATAAATTTATTTTTAATTTATTAATTATTTAATTAAATTTATATATTTAACATTAATATTAAAATTAATGTTAATTTTTATATTTTTTTAATGTATATTAATGATGAAAGAATACTTTTGAAGATATATAATAAAAAAATTCTTAAAAAATGCATTATTAAAAAGCAAAAAATACAAAATTCAACCCAACATCATGTCATCTTGTGCAAATAAGGGATCCCTGTTTCATTCGAGTCCCTCCTCAACCTCCCTTTCTCCTTCCACGAGTCCAGCCACCTGTCCATTGTTCAATTTAAAAAAAAAAAATTAGATTCTATCGTTTTAAATTTTTAGTTTTAATTTTTATAAATTATATAATTTTAAATAAATTTTTTTAATTCTATGTTTTTTTTATAATATATTATGAGAATAGTATTTATCCGCCTTACCTCTTAAAAATTAAGAGAAATATTATTCTAAAATCACATCATTTTAATAAATACCTATTGAAAAAGAGTAAAATACCCTATCTTTAAAGCATGCAAAAAAGTATTTTTTATCTTTTTTTTCTTTTAATTTTTTTGGAAGTAAGGCGAACAAGCACTAACCTCATATATTATAATTATTAAAGAAATAAAAATAAAAATAACTTTATTATTAATAAATCAGTTTATATTTTTGTTATTAATCTTAAAAATTCATTCTAAGTAAATTTTTTAATTATAAAATTTATGAAAAAAAAATTTAAATTAAAAACAAAAACCATAATCATATTAGATATAGCCATAATTAAATACTGTTAATAGTGGGAAGCATGTAAATAATGTATGGTTTTGGCAAAATAAAATAGAAAGAATTAGTCATTGTAAAGGCAAGATTCTATGGCCACCATATATACAATTGTTCTCACTTTAATTAGAGAGGAAACAAAAAAGAAAAGAAAAAAAATTTGAAAAAAAGGCAATTATTGGAATGGATTGGAATTGGATGGTCCCCATCATATGAACACATGTTGCTGAAATTAATATGGAACCAAACGGTGATCTGGATGGCCAAAAAAACAAAAATGGCGATATATTTGTCTTTTGCCCACCTCAAATAAATTGCGAAAAAGAGAGCTATGTAATCTTTTTTTTTTTAAAAAAAAATGAAAGAAAAATTAAAACGGTGCATGTCATAGTTATATTCTACCAATTATATGATAATTGTGATGGAATATCTTGAAATTTTTAATATTTAAGAGGTTTTTTTTAATGTATTTTTTTTTATTGATATATTTTACTAAATAATCACACATAACTTAATGTATTTATTCACTTACAATATATTTGACTCGTGAGGAAAGGAAAAGGGAGAATATACAATTCTTTTTATTTAGTTATTAAAATAATATAAGAGAGAAGAGAGAAAAAAAAGTTCTTTATTTTATTTTTTTAATTCATTTATTATTTATTTAAGTGAAAAGAGGAGGGAAGAGAGAAATAAAAAGAAATAAAATCATACAACATTTTTTATTATTTCTCTTCAAATCCAATATATTGTTAATATTATGTATCAAAAAATTATATTTGTAATATTATCCTCATAAATATGAGTCTATTATCTTACATAAATTATACATTTTACAATTACTAATAAAAAAATATCTCAATATTAAAAGATTTATCATTAATAATTATAAAATATACCATCTTATTACGTATATTACTATATGGAATAATTATCGTTTCTTCTTTTCATAATAATATTCAACCATATCAATCATGAACAACCTTGCATGCTTTTGCCCATTCCATTTTGCAACGCCCCTAAACTTCTTTCACCAATTATTTAACATTATCATTGTCTGCCTTCATATAATAATTTAAAAGAAAAAAAAATAAAGAAATTCTTCATTCCTATATAGATTGCATGATTCTTGCTCCGTTTAATTACATCATTCTCCATCATGTCTCTGTTAAGAATTCATTTATATTTCCATTTGATTCTCGGAAATCACAATTCACAAGCTTTGGGGTTATGACTTTTGAGGTTAAAAATAAAAAATAAAAAATTGGGGGGGGCTTGGGGTCATGTGTTCAAACTACAAAGCCCAAGCTATCCGTTTTCTACCCATTCAAGAAATATACAAAGATATCTCATGCACAATTTTTATTACATAATATTTTGCACAATATAACGTAATATTAAGTAAAATAATAATCATGTAATACTAAACATTGTTCACCAACTTGTCTCTACACGCGGCACCCCGTTCACCAACTTGCAACCTCAAATAATGGCCCTCTGATCCCATCCTTTCCTCGTGATCCTTGCT